GAAAGTGAGGAAGCTAACGCCGTTATGTATTGGGCGTACGCAGGTTTGTTCCTGTTGAATTGTTTTTGCCGACTTGAACGACCTTCCTCCTTGAACGACCCAAACACCAGATGGTACGGCCAGGTACGGCCATAGTACACGGCGTACACGGCTAGGTCAATAAACTGTGTGACGCACGTCACTAGTGCGTTGGAACGACGGAGAGCACCGATACCGCGGCACCCTCTACCGTACTCTCTCGCTCGCACACCTCCCCCCATAAACCATTGAAATTCCTCAGCACGCGTCAACACCGACGGAGAGCACCGATACTGCGGCTCGCTCTACCGCTTTCGCTCGCACGCCGTGACGTCACCCGATTCCCGGAATCCCGCGGCCACGAGTTGGCTCATTACAGTAGGGCGTTCCTGCAAGGGAAATTGTAAGCCGCCGGCCAAAAGGTACATTTGATAAACTATTTATGAAACTACATCTATTCTGAATTTATCTGTTACAAATATACAAATGTAAGGCAAGATATAAAAATATCCATTAACGATGCATTTAGAATAAATTGTCTTGTAGTTAAATGAAAAAATATATACTTTTCCGTTTCATGTTTCATGACTGCAATATTTATCCCTTAACCTTAAACTGAAGCATTGGATATTTTTATTCCCGTCAAATCATATAGATACACTAATACACGCAATATCAATGGAATATATAACATTTCATTTGTGCTAATAATACTCAGAATTCATGCTTTATCGACAACGTCGGGTATTGACACTAAAATGGTAAGGGACTTCTGACGCCCTCGAGGCTCGAAGCATGGGACAGAAAATTACATTGCCTGTTAGGTCTATTCATATATCTCGTCTGTGCTCTCATTTCCTTTCCGATAGATAACATATCGATTTTATCCTGTGATACCTACGCTACACGTCTACACAATTATTCGATGAACTAGAAAATTAATTACAAATTCAATATTCAACAGTAATTCCATGTTTACAAATATCTATACACATGTGAAATTAATGATACAGAATGAAATTTATTATGCATTAACTTGTATGATTAGGTGTGTAAATTACCGATAATTCTGCATTTGGCATTCACTTTCAAGTAGCGTCCAATAGATGGCAACAGATGGTACTAGAAACCATAATTTGGCGGATAATTTGAAAGTTAAAAATTTCCATCTTTCTCAACAGAGTGTATAGAACTGTTACTTGTTACTTTAAAATAATTCTTATCCACCGCTACTGCGTTTGCCTTTTGCACCCGCTAATACCTTCTTGACTTAAACTGCGATAAAGTAATAAAAGGAACTACGAGATTTAGAAGCACTTACATATATATATATATATATATTTTTTTGTTCGAACCAAGTAGAACATTTCAAGGAAGTGTGTACGACAATTGTCTCGCTCACGGTCCACCGTGGAAACGTGTACGTACATTGTCCATACGTGCGTGCGCTCGCGTTTACAATGGCATTCCT